CTATACTCACTACAGGCTATAATATATTCAAAAAGCCCTGAGTATCTGAACATAATTTTCTTATAAAAATGCATGTCTGTATAATACTTTTCCAACTTTAATCTTTACTTACAGTCATGCTTGAAAGTGTGTGAACCCTTCAAGGTGGTCATTATTTTAGATATTATAGAGGTTACATGAACCTGAACTCTTAATGAATATATAGAATAAATATCCTAAATAAAGACTTCCCACACATAAAAAGGGATTTGATCTCATAGATTGTCAGACTGCGATATTTAACAAATCACCAGATCTTCTTGTGTGCAAAAGTAAATGTCAATAACTTGTGGCACATCATTTAGTCGCCTCCTATAACCAATTATCAGTCCCTGACATCTTGCTGGAGGGATTTTTTCCCACTCCTCTTTACAAAAATTCCTTAAGCTCTGTGAGGTTTGAATGATGTCTTGCATGAACAGCCCTCTTCAGGTCCTGCCACAGCATTTCAATAGGATTCAGGTCAGGGAGTTGGTTTAGCCAATGGAACCTCTCTTCCTAAGCCTTTCTTTAGTGGACTTACTTGAATGTTTAGGATCGTTGTCTTGTTGAAACATCCACTTTGTGCCCAGCTTGAGTTTTCGAACTGATGGCCTGACATTCTTCTCAAGAATTCCTTGATATTTCTCGGAATTCACGATTCTCTCAGTGTCAAGGTACCCAGGGCCAGAGTAAGAAAAACGGCCACATATAAGGACACGCTTACCACCATACTCGACAGTAGGGATCAAGTTTTGTTGGTGGTAGGCTGTGTTGGCTCTTCGCCAAACATGGGCCCTCTTGCAGTGCCCAAATAGGTCAATTTTGGACTCATCTGTCCAGAAAACAGACTTCCAGAACTCTTCAGGCTTGTCCAAGTGGTCTCTGGCAATCTTCAGACAGGCAGCTTTGTTCTTTGATAGAACAGGCTTCTTACTGGTGACCCTACCATAGATGGTATTACTGTTCAGGGTTCCTTATTTTTGATGTACCACTACTCCGGAAGCATCTAAGGAGGCTTGTAGATCTCAGGAGGTTATTTTAGGATTACCTTTTACCTCTTATTATTCTCTTTGTGGCCCTGAGTGAAATTTTAGGAAAGGTCCACTTCTTGGCAGGGTTTCCATTGTGTTAAATGTCCTCCACTTTTATACTATTTGTCTAACAGTGGATTTATGGAGTCTGCTGATGTTTCCTTAGTTTAAGGCATGATGCTAAACTCGTAGGAAGAGTAACTGACCTGCTTTCTCGCAATTATTTATGTTTGCTCCTCCCTAACACATCATTTCAGATCTTCAGCTTCATTGGTTACCTCGGTTAAGTGGTTAACACTCTGTCATTGACCCACCTGATCCTGCTTTACCTTGATGTAAGTCATAGAACTAGGTTCACTTATTTTTGCACCTGCACAATTTTTGTATACTGTGTGTATTATTTTGCTGCATGGACATTTTCTTTCAAAACACTCAAATTGGTGAATAATTATACTTTATTTCAATTAGGAATTGACAAATTCTAAATATGCATTTTGTGGTTAAACACACAAAAAATCTCAAATTATGCAATGGGTTCACAAACTTTCAAGCATGACTATATATCCATTTATAATAGTTATGGCCTTGTGTAGGTTAAATAATGTATAAAATGTGAAAGCAATATTCAGATATCATAAGCGTGCGTCTTTTATAATCTCTTAAAAAGGGTATACTAACAGTTTTCTAATGGGCCTTTGTACATATTCAGAAACAAAATGTAATTATATTGACCTCTATAAATATATTTTCCTTTTAAAACAATATTAAAGTTAATATCTTAATGCACTCACCCGTTTGTTAATGACATAAATCAATATTGTAAAGTTAATTTACCTTTGAAAAATAAGATTACATAGATTTTATTCACAGTAAGAACCTGAGACAACTGTCCTAAAAGATCACACTGAAAAGATATACTGTACAGTATATGAAGCATAAAATACTGGTCTACATCATGTAATCATGAAAAATCAGTTTTAAATTATAGTGTTAACATGAATTGAAAACAGATTAAATTAAACAAAGTAGGGTTTTCCCCACAAAGTGCACAAAACATTTTAGGATGAGCACTAAACACCCTTTCAATCTGTGTATTTTTACTACTACAATGACTACTAAGGACTAAGAGTTTTGAGATTATTAGGACCATAACAGTCATTTCCAACTTTTGCACCACGCATCAAAACATTTTATTTTAAATGATGTTTTTTTATAAAACAAAATTAAAGGTTGTTTTAACAAAAATGGTGAGATTGTGAGGCAGTGCACAATATTCAATTTGCAAAAAATGATTCTGTATTGCTTTCACAACTGAATTAAAGAAAGCCTAAATGCCAAACTACGAAGAATATACTCTTTCTGCCATATCTCCAACACAATGATCATTATTTTAATTTACAGCCATCTGAATAAGTAAAAAAATAACAGATCTTCCCCTTTTCAGTTGAATGAATGAATCCTGATGTAATAAAAGTGTTACAACAGATGATGATCTGCTTCATATTAAGAGCTCAAATGCATTTAAAGCTACACAGAGAGAGTAATGTGTGATTAACAGGCAGTAAAGAAAATCACCATATATAGAGATTCTAACTATAGAAGGACAGAAGTTGACAGTTCTACAATATACAAATATAATAAACTTGTCTGTAAGTGTAGGAAGCCACAGATGAAGTGGGAAGGATATTCTGGCAGAAACAGCTAGCTAACTATTGACCTATGAATATAATAACATGATAATATTACAGAATAAAAATGATTCCCTAAGCAGAGTTTGTTCTCCAAATGTTAAAAAACATCAGAATAAATAATTTTGTTTCAAACAATCTTTTTATTGGGAGGAAATTCTCTGTGATCATTCTCCATCATTCAAAAATTATATCTGAATGATTTGCAGATGGGCGAGACTGCTTCCATTTCTTTCAAGAAGACTTCTCTTCGATGAGGGAACTGATTAAACCAACCTTGTAATGACTTTAGGAGCTGATGCAAGGAACACATTATTTGTATTTGAATAACTGAGTTTTAAGCTTAAGTGAAGCTGCAAGCATTCTTCTTTATGTAGGTGTCCCACAGTTCAATAAAGCCTTCAAACGTTTTGCCATTCCATTATCCCTTAACAAACAGATCCCTTTCTCCACATTCCTCATGGAATCTGGCCAGGAAGCAAGATATAGCAGTTTCATCACTGATGTTACTAGAAGTTAAATTTTAGATTATATAATGAGGTGCTAAAAGGAGCCTCATCATTTAGCTGTCAAATAACTTTTATTCACTATAAATGTTGTTCCTCCCTCACAGCATCTGCCATTCAAATGCAAACATGACATTGACTACCTCCAGGCTACGAGCAATTTCTTCCATAATGCAATGCTGCTGCCAGAGCTGGTGGAGCTTCTTGTACCTTTCAGGTGAAAGATGTAAGGGATTGCCCCGTCTGTAAGGCAAAACAGGGCCTTTGTTATTTGATTATATCTAATCATTAACATATAATGGTATACTGATAAAGACTGTATGCAATTGCATACTGATAAAGCTCTAAATTAAACCAAACAAACAAAAAATATGCTCTCCAACAGCTGCAAAGGACAATCATAGTGCTTAAATAAAACGACAGTGTAAAACAAAATCTTGTTAGGACATTAATTTGATCACATTTGTCAAGGAGCAGTATCATGTTAATAAACATGTTCAAAGTTCAGATCCACACAGACTGGTTTGTTAATTTTAAAATTCTGTACAAAAAATTCAGTTTAAAACTCTGAGCACAGTAGCAAAGAAATGTGATTTGCAAGGGACCCACCAAAGTATCTAGGCTAATTTGCACCAACTATTACTCCACTAGTATTACCCCCTAGTAACTATTTAAAAGTCGTCAGCCTTTTCTTTTTCTTATTGTCTTGTTAACATCGTTCACACAGATCACTGTAATTACTTTACTATTGTCATCTTTCTTAATAAATACAGAGAAGTATGAAAAATATTTTCAGAGAGAAAGTCTCACATTTGAATTTGAAGATTTGAACATGGGAATCAATTATTTCACAAGTACTGCTATACTGTTACACAGAAATGTGCATAAAACACTGATTTGTACTGTATTTTATTCATTCCCATAGTAAACTATTCTGCTTCTTAAAATGTCCCTTTATTTTTTATTCATAGGCAAGAACACATCTTATGAAATATGTATGAAATATGTTGCTGGATAGGGTCAAGGGGCATGGAAGGGCAAAAGTTTAATACACATGGGATACCATCTGGCATACCCCAGCTGTGGGTCTGTTTCTCCATAGTCATCAAGATATGGCGCTGGGTATGTGCTCCCTCTGGTCTTGCTAGCCATTAGGACAACCTCACACTCCCGGATTCTAAAGGGTAAAATAGCATGACCAGAAACAGAAAATATGCTCATTAAGCTCACTTCGCAATGAAAAAAGCAATTAATAGTTCGTATTTATTTTGTGTATATATCTATGCTCTGAAAAAATTAAATATTACAATTACTTGAATGGCTCACATTACTAGCTCACAACTGAGCCATTTACTGTCTAAATCTTCTCTGTGCATGATATTGTTCTCATACCATATCTGGCATATGACTTAATGCAAGCTGGATCAAAACCTAATTTGTTTCCATTGCCATTTATAGTGATACTTTACTATAAAACACTGCAAAAGCACATTTACATTACATTTAGATTGCATAGATTTCTTGGCCACTACATATCCTACATATTTAAAAAATAAAACAGATTTCAAAAATGAAGCTGGAGAAGTGAAATAGGAAAATACTATGTGCTATGCACTTCAGGCTATAACACACATCATCATTGACTGGGTTATTTAAACTCATTTTAACTGAGAAGGAATAGTTAAATAGCTCCAGTATTAACAATTCAAGGGAAAAATAAAGAACCTGAACCATAACATATGAGACAAATGTAAAGGATGTATAAAAGAAAAGGCAAGAAAACACAGCTGATGAACATAACCTCAAAGCAATAGAGCAGTACTGCTGGTGACTGCCTTACCTTAGGAACATGCCCACTCCTGCTCCACATGTGGCAGCATGGGCGGTACAAGCTCCCACCTCCTCCTGGTCCAGCACCTCCTGACAGCAGGGGCTCTGGGAGCACAGCATGGCCCCACAGAACAGACACAGCGTCGGATGCTTCTTGTCCTCGTCCGCTGACTTGGGACATCTACACATGGTAAGAGGGTTTCATTTGATCAAGGGTTTTAGAGAGAGGTTTAGAAGATCTGCATCACAAAAACGTTTTTTAAGAAGGTGCTAGTTTCATATTTAAATCACCTATCATAAGCCAGGTATGTACAATGGGGCTATGAAATTCTGATGTTTTATTTTAAACAATTCAGAGTATTCAATATTAAATATCTAATTAGAATGAATGCTATTAGCATACTATAATTTCAATACTAGAATTTAATATACAAGACAGATAAAATCACACTAAAACGTAAGGGAAAAAAAGCCTTTAAATTGCATTTAATTTTTTTTGCACTTCAATATTCCAACACTGCCACCGTTTTTTTTCCTTATAATGTGCTTTATACAAACACTTATTACTTATTAAGTATATTATTACTCCTACTTATTACGTACGTGGGTATGAGTGGCCAATAACACGTGTTTTTTTTAATAGAAAACAGTAAAGTAGACAAGAGGAGAGTTTTGTGTTTTTCCAGGGTTTAAACTAAAATTACCATCAAACTTTTCTTAGACCAAGAAAGGCAGTGGTCAATTTAAACCACATATCTTCTCCTTATAATAATAGTACCTGCAAAAGACATTCCTTCTGCTTCATGAGATTCAGGTCTAGAAGCATTCAAAACATGTTACTTACTTAAAATGGCATGCCTGGTTGAGGAGACAACTGTAATCTTCTGGAAGATCAATTAACTTATTCCGTTTCCTGGGATATCTGGAGGAAGAAAAGAAAATATTTAGGGATATTTTAAGTGTGAAGATGGATTTAGTGTAATATGAATACATATGGACTGTGTAATACAAAAGCACTGTTTCACTAGCACTGTTCTAAATTTTGGTATGGGTCAAGCTACACTAAACCTTTTTATGTTCTGATAAATCTTACATATACATCAATACTTAAGACATCCATACCACATATCTGCAGACATTTTTCAAATTTCAAACAAAAACTAGAGTAAAATAAATCTTCACCCACCGAATAACTGAGACTTCTCCTTTAAGTGCTCTTGATACAGCTGGATGGCCACACCACCTGCATATAAATGTATATTTATTGAAAAGCACTACTAAAACAAGGAATGTTAATTCTTTAACTACAGTTGGTGTACACCAAAGTCTGCCAAAGCAATATGACTCCTCTTCAACTATCCTGGTCCCATAAGAATTTATCAAATCAAATGTGAGTAATCTATTCTCACCCTTAAAGATCTATCAATTTATAGTGTTAGGAAAAATATTCTTGCATACAAATTAAACATATATTTTTTTACTTATTATAGTGCTCAAAGTTAATAGTGGTTTATGTGCAACACTTTTTATATTTCAAGGTTATAAAGAATCAGCATTGATAACTGCATCTTTAAACACAATAAAAGTGAAATGCACACAGCCTTGTGCAAAACCTCCAATTCACCTCACAAAATACACAAAATTTCCAGGTATGCGCAGAACCACATTCTGTGATTCAGAACGAGCCAACAAAACATCCAGCGACGTGAAAAGGCCTTATTACATCATAAACAAGCAGGTCTGTGAATACATCTCTTTTAATTCAATTTGTTCAAACTCTTGCTAACTGAGACTATAAAAAAAATCTATAATGTCAATTAATTTATTTTTTTATCGAGATTTAATAACCATTCTGAAAAATTGGGACTTTAGTTCCCCATTAATGTTTGCTGCAGACGGTTATCATGCCACACACTTATTAAAATGTGCTATCAGATTAAAATAACTATCAGATGAGGCTCAAAATCAATGCCAGCAACAAATCACACCTCTGCCTAAAAATGAAATGTTGACACCAAACACATGATGTTAATCTGCTGCGCATTGTGTGAGCGATATGGAAATACTGTGAACAACAAGATTCATTGATATTATCAATGAAAAATCCAACAAGGGGCAAGAACATACTTAAAAAACATTTGAAGGCGAAATATTCAGTAGCTGAATGATGCTGTGTCTGTTTGCACCCATTATGATTGGCAGGTATAGTGGATTTCCTTACACTTGTCAGAGTTGTTAAATTACTTGCTTTTGAACTACAAATGCACTGTTCATCAAGAAGCACTTTGTGAGCAATCATATGGAACCAAATTCAGAAATGTAACATTTTCAATTGGATTCTTCCCCCAAGTCCTTAGTCACAATTAATTTCAGTGACTGATCAAAGACATTCCAAGTGTAATATACAGCAATATTTGCTGTTTATCTCACTGCAAAGTTTTGTGGATATAAAGGATTAAATACACCGATCGTTTGGACTGTGGTTGTTTACTCAGGATTTTCTGCTTCATCAGCATTACAAGTCATTTTAATTGAGCTGAATCTTAACCTAGAGCAAGCAAATATAGTCCTGTGCAGTCAGACTATATCTGAGTCAAAACTGACCTTTTTCATCAAAGGTACTGAAATGAGTGACAGTAAATAAATATTGAGTTTAACACTTTATTTAACACAAAATCCAAATAACAGGATTGACTGGAGCAAAAGGCCAGGTTTGTCTCCAAGCTACTGATTCCATTCCAGACCTTTTAATGATTTTCACAAACACTGTTATGTACACATAACATATCAGCTGAAGAACTGAAATTGACAGTCATTTCAAGTACTTCAGTTCTTCTGAAATGGAAATAGCAAACATTAATGTGTTCAATACCAGTGTATAAAAATAGTCTAGATTAATGTTAATTTTGATCAACAACATGCAAGATTGCTCACATCAGCTAAAATGAAGAAACAATGTATTGCTTTTGATTCTAAGGCTTTATTTAATTAAAAACAGTATGTTTGATATACATTTTTATTTGTGAAGTTCCAAATTAATAATTTAAAATTTGTTGAAAAAGACATTTGTAAATGGTCTTTTTCACACAGCAACATTAATCTGTTTTCTTGGCTAACTACACCTTTGAACCTAAAGGTTGCTTCTTGGCATTAAGCTACGCAATAACTAGGAAACAGATAAAAAAACTTTATATATTAAAATAATATAGTTTCTCTTAATCAGGAAAAGATTAAGTACACACTCTGCAAAACTGATAATTCTAGTGTTTTCTTGTGTTGAAATGTTTCTAGTAACCAACAGTGAAACATTTCTGATTTCCTTTCATGTATAATTTTTTTTTAAGTAAACTAGCACCAATATCCAACATAAAAAAACTCAGGTTCAGCTGTGTTTCACAGTATGAGGTACCTGCTTAATAAAGGTGAAATGGTCTCTTTGTAGTCCTGGAACAGCTGGAAGAGGTTTGTTGGTAATGCCAGATAACTACATAGTGCATCCATTTGTCCTTCAAAAGAAACTGCAAGAAAACAGCAGGACAAAATCAATAATACAGCACCTTTATGTACAAGAACACACAAAAACTGGGTCTGTAAAAATAATATTTTCCAGTTTTAAACAGATTATGGTTAGGACGGTTAAAAAAACTATAAAACCTTTTGGAAGCAGCATTACCACTGTGTAGCTTAATCACATCTGATCTTACAAGCATGGCTGTTCAGTTCTGGTATGGGAAATTCAGGTTGCTACTACAAGTGATATTGATAGACTGTAGGTGGCACTCTTCACTCAGACCAGAATTTCAAATCCAATGCCCCAGTACAGTAAAATGGAAAACTGTGCTATTAGAGGTGTTGAGACATTAAACCAATAATTAGACTTTGAATTTGAGAGTACAGGTTGATGTATTGTCAATGAAGACCAAGTCACTTTTCAAAGTGCTGGAATGTTAAACCCAGGTGTCCTGGTTAACGTCCAATCTGGAGTTGTAAAACTTGGCCTTCCTGAAGTTCCGAGGTGGGTCCTTTGGTTTATAAAAGTTATTTTATCCTTCGGACTACATAAGTGTAAGGAATGGAATGGACTAGACAAGTCTCTCATTTGAAACCTTTCTTATGGTCTTAATAATTATGATGATTGTGATTATTATTAATATGAAGCCAGATATTATGGGCTTTCGATACTACCACTGTTTAATACCTATACTTCAATAGTCCAGAGGCAAGCAGTTAAGTTTAGACTGTCAGATACCATCAGTGCTGCACAGCTCGTCTGGTGGAGGCACCCCCGTAAGGCAATTAAAGAACAGAGCAGCACAATGCAGGAAAGATACTATTCCTCTCCTGACTCTGTCCGCTACACACCAGCCTGGCATATCTCCCCTGAGCCTGCAAAACAAACAAAAGCCATCATTAGCAGCCACAGAAGACAGCTCTTGACACCTTCTTGGACCCAAACCTTTAACTACCATTCTGTTTACAACAAGTGCGATAAGAATTCTTTCCGAATTGAGATGATTAAAGATAATTTAATTCTGTACTGCTAATTTTCTACTATTGCTCAAAGAGCCATTAAAAGATACTGTGATGATATTTGGAAGTATCTGAGGATAGATATAGAATACAACTTGATCTGGACCAAAGATAAATTAGAGGGGAGCTTTAATTAAATCCACAACAATATAGATAATGTTCACCATGCTTGCTACATCTCACTTTAAGGCCTTGTGGAACAGGCCTCTGTTGCAAGAGGCAGGTCTTGCACTCACCCTTCTGTACATTGAACCATAGTCTGATAGAGCTCTGCTGCTGATCTGGATTCCTCTCCATCATTTTCTCCCATCATCTCTGGAGGATCTGACGGCAGAAGCACAGGAGATTTCTATATAACACAACTGTAAATTAGACTGCATGTATCATTCCACCCAGTACACTCATAAATGTTACTTAACATGTGCACATCTAGTCTCATTAGTTTTTTCTGATTGACAGCTCCTCTAGAGATCATGCTTACCATTGTTGGAGAGCAGGATTTGTACCACGTGTGCCATAGTGACGAGGTGGAAGATATAGAGGTGGTTGTATGCAGAGCTGATCAAAGAGGGCTGGAGGTCTACCATCTCCTCCTGATAGAGTGCTGGAATAGCAAGCACCAAGCCCACCTGGAGCATACACACAGACGTAACTTAAGCACAGTTTAGAATAAGACTTATGCATATTTAGAGTCCACCAAATGACCTTCTAACAGCATGTAAGAATTGCAAGAACAGCATTTTCAACCCACTTTTTTTCTTCTGTCTAATCCAGTTTTATATAATACAATTATATAATGTTAGGAATAACATAGCAATGAGAGGAATCAGATTAGACAATTTGTACATTCTAATAGACATTTATTGAACTTTAGACAATATATTATTTAAAAAAAAACTTAAATCATGATTAGTAACTACACAAACATTTGGTGTTGCCTTTTGCTTACAATTAACCAGATGGTGCGAAAATGAAGTCACGTTGTTGAAACTCATACCTTGGCTTCCAACAAACAGCTGGATGAGACTCTCAGATCAATCAGTTACTAGCAACCACAGAAGCCACGGATGAGCCAAATAGCCCCCTTTTACTTATAGCGTTACTAATGTTCTTAAATGAAAACTATACACCTTACAGGTAACATGCATTTTTGGGTACTTATTTTCATTTCATGCATTTTGGACATTGGAAGACACATTTAGTCGCATTATGTATGAAAAGCAAAATGCATTTGAAGAGACACTGAAAAATTCAAAGCAGCAAATAATATGACTATACTATCAAAACTATAGCATAGGCTTCTGTTAACAGCAGCACAACATGGTGTGCTATAATAACTTGTGCAGCAGGAATAAAGTAAAGAATAATACTGATTACTGTTCATCTTTATCTTACGTTTCTATGCAATATTTTGATGTATATGGTTGGAAAGCATGAAAACAATACACTTACAAGTAGATGAAAGAGGTCAACATCTAGAATAGAAGGTGTCTCCTCCAAGTTAATGTTAGGGATTAAGGCTGGTGGGGAAAAAAGTCAAACCACAAACATTTACATTATGTAAAGTTTCATTTTACTACTATATGAAATGAAAACAAAAAATTAAAGAACAAAAGAATAAAAAAATATCTTTAAGTATACTACAGTATACAATTTTTTAGTCATTTAGAGTACAGATTGGAATGTTGTCATATTTACATACCATCATAAACTCTTAAATTAAGATTACATACACTTAATCTTACAATTAAGATTACATATGCTATATTTCATAGTGTGTACTGTATGTTAAATTATTTAAAATATACATATGAATATTTAATAAAACTTGCAAATTTAAAATATTCTAAAGTTAGTGATCTCAGTCATATTATAATGAACAAGGTTAATTTTTTATCTGTTACTAAACCAAGAAATGCTGTTGTCCAAAAGTATCTTAAATAGTATTTTAGAATTTCTAATACAACCAATTATTGTGGATAAATGGTTCAGCCAGCACACAAAAGACTGAATTTTAATATTCCAGACAATGCAACCTAATAAGACTAGTAATGTTTTTTATAAGACTGTTAACCTGAAAGCATGCCAACAAAGTGCTTCTGAATCACAGCGTGTGAGGATTTCTGTCTCTGAGCTGCTGCAAACTGCACCAGTGCTTTCAGTCCAGCATGCTACAATTAAACAGTCAAGGAAAAGGTATGATATCAATATGTAAGTCACTGTTAACACCCTGCGAAGAACAAAGAGTTAACAATGTAAAATTACCCGGGTATAGCACCATGTTTATGTGACAAAAAGTTACTTCAAACTTAAAAGAAACATCTTACTATACAAAAAGGAGAAATGTTTGCTCATGCTGGATTTTGTGTTTCACAGCACAAGGGAATGTACAAATCACACTGCTTATCCTGTATTTTTTGCGTTGAGCTATACTGTACAAATCTACTGGCCACTAGCACAGAATGAAATGTCCTCCTTGAAAAGCTAGCAGGATGACTTTAACAATATCTTATGTTTCAAATGTTTAATGACCCACCTACATATTCTATATTCCACACCTTTAGTGTTTACTTGTTTGTTACAACAATAATAAAATTGTAATCAAATTAGGAACACTTTTTTCTCTGGATCAAACAGCTTTTAACCTCCACTACCATGCTAATACAAAACAGGAACAATCAATGCTTACAGCTATCACAAATAAAGTATTAAAGAGAAAACTGTTTCTTCACCTCTAAAAAAAGATGGGCCTTAAATTAATCTCAGACCTGCAAAATACTTTACCTGTCTTTTCTGTAGAGAGCCAAAAAGTGGTTTTCCCTCCTCTTCCAGCACATTCTCTGTTAAGAAAGAGCACACCTTACCAGTAACTGTACCCTACACTTGTATAGACACAACAAAACAGAAATGACAGAAATGGGAGATTTAAGACAAATCTTTTCACTTTTTTCACAAGAATCTTAAGGAAAAATAAAAGCCCTCACCTATAGCCTGTATGGTGAAGGCACATGTGTTCCAAGTCATCAGTGGGACTCTGGGATCTATTTCATTAGGAGCCACCTTTAACCCCACTCTGTACACAGTTGTGGCACATACCACTAGCATCTCGCTGATGCTGTCTGAATATCTGGTGCTAAAAGGACAAAAGGTAGTATTAAGATCAGCTTGCAATTATAATGTACGCTTTCACTTAATAAGATCTGAAGGAAACAGCTCAGGTTGGCTATTATGGTAAACAGTTTCACTAACTATATGATTAAACTTAATTTATGAGTTCTACTTACGGTGCTTGGACTCCAAAACTAAGAATAGATCTAAAATCTGCAGGATTTTCCACACAGAGATGCAAATCTGAGTCAAAGCTGCTTTCTGTTGAGCAAAAATTGAGTAGTATCACAAAACAAGGAAGTGTACATGGAAAAAATACTAATGAAAGACAATCTAAAGGTATCTTACCACTTCCTTCAGTTGTAGATTTTAACCCCTTTAATCTGGCCAGGATTATCTGTATCCATCGTGGCAATATCAGGAGCTGCCCCACTAACTCTGCATTCTCACTGTGGAGACAAACCCCAGAGAATAACAAAGCAAAAATGCAAAAAAGAAAACACCAGTCAATCTATATGCTGAGCCTATAGAAATCTTCCATTTTTCATGCAATACCAGAGACACTGTTTCCATTAGAAACATTAGAAAAAAATGACAATTTAGGAAAGAACAGAAAAGGGTACCTACTAGTCGAGTTTGAGAGGCTCTAGAGGAATGAGAGGGATGACAGTGTTGCAGAGGGATTTGCAGAGTGGACACAGGTACTCTGCATTCTCCAGGTCAAAGATCAACTCTGCATGAAGACGGTTTCGAGTTGTATTCTGCACGGCTTCAAAGTACCTAGACACAGGGCACACAGGGAAGCAGTAATCATAGTTTTGAAAAAGACTGAAGAAGAAAAACAAGCATATATTCTAAAAGGAACACTAATTGCAGATGCATGAAATGTGCAGGAAGGACAATGGTTTAGACTAATTCAAATAACGTTCTTGTACCCAGATATTAATATTAAATAATTAACTATTAATAATAATTTTCTTGCTAAGCCTTATAGGATTGAGAGCTAGTAGTTTAAATTATATTTGACACCAGTTGCTTTTAATTGTATATTTAAACCTGTCCATCTACAATACATAGGAGAACGTTGTGTACGTACTTCTGCCAGCAGAGGGCATGCATAACGTGCCCACAACTTCCTGTGTGTGTGCCCACAGCCAGATCCGGGTGCATGAACAGAGGAATGGAGGTTTCTTTCCAAGTAAAGAAAAGCAAACAAATTAATTTGCAATTTAAGCCCAATAACACAATATTCATGAAAATAATTATTCTTAATTTCAAGCTGAGATTTTACAATAATACTGGACCTTGATTTCTTATGATTTTTATAATGTTAATTAATTGATTACTCAAACTCTTCAAACTGAACCTTTTACCTTAAGATGAGAAAAATACATGGACATTACAGCAGTCTAAGCGACTAGTGGAAGCCAATCTCAGTGCAGGTTAGGCTCAGTTTAGGTAGAAGATCTCGCACATGACAGACCTGTGTTGGGCAGCGTTTTGCCCCTGCACTGAGTTAAAACAGTAGATCTCTGGACACAGGCCGTCAGGACCATAGCAGGGGCTGTTGCTTGCACCTCCTGCTCTTCTTGGCACAGGATGCAGGTGAGGACTTCCCTCTCAGCCAATGCAAGGCCACGCTTTGGGCCCACAGCCACCCTCGACTCTCTCAGGATCATCGCAGGGCTGCTGAAGAGGAACCTTTTTATTCCATTTTTTTCTCTAGCAATATCAAGCACACATTAACTTTAGAATGAGTTTAAAGCAAAGTAAGGACAGTATGGAATTTTGTACATTTTATTTGTACTCTTTGTGCAGGATGACACGTGGAAATTAATATAAATATTAACAGGTCAAAATGCTCTCTGAAGCAGTCTGAAACAGGAAGGAGACTGGGAGACCATTTCAGAGAACATGTTAGGATCAGAGATTTCTCCAAGCCCATAGTTTCTCATTTCACCTCTAACGGCCGTGATCACACTGATCTCTCCGTCTGCTTTCTCAAAGTA